AGGAAGCAGAGGAAGGCAGTGGGATGTCTGAAGGCCTGAGAACAGAAGAACCTCAACCTGCCAGCAGACACAAGACACTGAAGCTGAAATCCCAGCTGAAATTGGGCAAGGTGCTGAAGGCCGCGATTCACGGCTGAGGAAAGGCTGGCAGCCGTGACCTCACTCTGCTGACTACCTCAGGCCCCTCCCACGACACAGCCCCCCATGGAGGCGGCCTGCAGACCCGTCAGACTCCAAAGTGAGAGGGAGAGGAACGTCAGGAGTTGGGAAACAGTGGGTCCAGATGCCAGTGGGGGGAAGAGGCTGACTGGGAAAGGCTGAGGGTGTTGGGGGGGATACACCTCCATAATCACTTTGTGAAAACAGAAGAGAGGAATCTTGAGCCACGAAGCAGGAAATGATGTTCTGACCCTGCCAGGTGCCCCACAGCATTGGTCTTCAGGGACCTGCAAATCCAGGCAGCAATTAGATACTATTTCACATGTGCCGAGATGGCTGCCATTGTTTTAAAAATAGAAAATACTGTTGGGGAGGATGTGGAGAGATTGGACCCCTCATATGCTGCAGATCAATGGAACGGAGCAGAGTCCAGAAACAGACCCATACACATGCAGCCAATTGTTGCTGACAAAGGTCCAAAGGCAATTTTGTGGGCAAAGGACAGGTTTTTGAAATACATAGTATTGGAAAAAATGGATAACCAAAGGGAAAAAAAAAAAAAAAGGAACTTCAATCCATACCTCACACTACTACTCAAAATGTATCATAGACCTAAATGCAAAATATCATGACTATAAAGCTTCCAGAAAAAACACAGGAGAAAATCTAAATGACCTTAGATTAGGTAAAGAGTCCTTTTCTGACACCATAAGCATGATCCATAAAAGAAAATGAATAAATTAGATTTCATCAAAATTTTAAGACAGCTTTTCAGAAGAAATTGTTGGTAGATTGAAAACAAAAGCCACAGACTAGGAGCAAATGTAATTCAGACATCTGATAAAGGACTTATATACAGAACTAGATATAGAACTATCAAAACTCAATATGAAGAAAACAAAAACCCTAACTTTTATAAATAAGGAAAGCGATTTGGACCCTTCACTAAAGAAGCTATAGGGATAGCAAATGAGCACATGAAAATATGCTCAACATCATCAGTCATTATGAAAATGCAAATTAAAACCACATTAAGACAGCATTACACACTTCTTAGAATGGCTAAAATGAAAAAGACTTTGTTTATTCATTTGTTTTTTATTTTCATTTTTTTAAAGATTTTATTTATTTATTTGACAGAGAGAGACACAGTGAGAAAGGGAACACAAGCAGTGGGAGCGGGAGAGGGAGAAGCGGGCCTCCTGCGGAGCAGGGAGCCCGATGCGGGGCTCCATCCCAGGACCCTGGGATCATGACCTGAGCTGAAGGCAGACGCCCAACGACTGAGCCACCCAGGCGCACCTATTCATTTATTTTTTAGATTCTACATATGAGTAAAATCATATGGTATTTGTCTTTCTCAGTCTGACTTGCTTCACTTAGCATTATGCCCCCTAGATCCATCCATGTTGTTGCAAATGGCAAGATCTCATCCTTTTTATGGCTGAGTAATATTCCTCTGTGTGTGTGTGTGTGTGTGTGTGTGTGTGTGTGTGTGTGTACCACATCTTCTTTATCCATTTATCGATGGGCACTTAGGTTGCTTCCATATCTTGGCTATTGTAAATAATGCTGCAATAAACACAGGGTGCTTATATCTTTTCAACTTAGTGCTGTCATTTTCTTTGGGTAAATACCCAGTAGTGGAATTACTGGATCATATAGTAATTCTATTTTTAATTTTCTAGGACTCTCCATACTGTTTTCCACAGTAGCTGTACCAATTTACATTCCCACCAACAGTGCGTGAAGGTTCTTTTTTCTCTACATCCTCACCAACACTTGTTATTTCATAAACAAACAAATAAAAAGCAGAATCAGATCTATATTTACGGAGAACAAACTGATGATTTCCAGAGAGGGGGTGCAAAATGGGTGAAGGGGACTTAGAGGTTGCCAGTTACGAAATGAATAAGTCACAAGAATAAAGTCAGATGAGGGAATACAGTCAATGATATTATAATTGCATTGTATGGTGACAGATGGTAGCTACATTTGCAGTAAGCAGAGCATAACATACAGAGATAGTGAATCATTATGTTGTACACCTGAAACTAATGCAATTAAAATATTTTTTTTAAGATTTTATTTATTTATCAGAGAGAGAGAGAGACAGAGGCCGGCAGAGGGAGAAGCAGGCTCCTTGCTGAGCAAGGAGCCCGATGTGGGACTCGATCCCAGGACTCTGGGATCATGACCTGAACCGAAGGCAGACGCTTAACCAACTGAGCCACTCAGGTGTCTCTGAAACTAATGCAATTAAATTAAAAATTTTTTTGAGAGAGACAGTGCATGCATGAGTGGGGGTGGGAGAGAGGGGCAGAGGAGGGAGAGAGAGAATCTTTTTTTTTTAAGATTTATTTATTTATTTGAGAGAGAGAGTGCGGTGGTATGGTGGGGAGGGGCAGAGAGAGAATCTTTTTTTTTTAAGATTTATTTATTTATTTGAGAGAGAGAGTGCGGTGGTATGGTGGGGAGGGGCAGAGAGAGAATCTTTTTTTTTTTTTAAGATTTAATTTTTTATATTTGTCAAAGAGAAAGAGAGACAGAGATAGCGAGGGAGAGCACAAATGGGGAGTGGCAGGCAGAGGGAGAAGCAGGCTCCCTGCTGAGCAGGGAGCCCAATTCGACTCTCGATCCCAGTACCCTGGGATCATGACCTGAGCTAAAATCAAGAATCAGGCACTTAGCTGACTGAGCCACCTAGGTGCCCCCAAAATTATTTTAAAAAGAGATTGACCCCAGGAAACAAACTGAGGGTTATAGAAGGGAGTGGGGTGGGGGGATGGGGTAACCCGGTGATGGGTATTAAGGAGGTTGTGTTGTGATAAGCACTGGGTGTTATACACAGCTAATGAATCATTGAACACTACATCAAAAACTAATGATGTACTATATGTTGGCTAATTGAACATAATAAAAAAATAAAATAAAATAAAAACTAAGAAAGAAGGGGAAAAAATAAATAAAAAGAGACTGACAAGAACACTATAAATAAAAAATAAAAAGACTGACCATGTGCTGCCAAGGATATAGAGAAACTGGAAGTCTCACATACTGATGGTGGTAATCTAAAACTGAACAATCACTTTGGAAAACAGTTTGACAATTTCTTTAAAAAGTATGATCTACTACATGAAGTGTATGATCCAGCCATTCCACTCACAGGTATTTACCTAGGAAAAATGGAAGCAGAGGTACACAAAAAGATTTGTACACAAATGTTCATAGCAGCTTGATTTGCAATAGCTAAAGATGCAAATAAATCAAATGTCCACCAAGAGGTGAATGGGCAGGCACCTGGGTGGTATGGCTGGTTACAAGGCTGACTTTTGGTTTTGGTTCAGGTCATGGTCTCAGGGTCATGGAATTGAGCCCCAAGTTAGGTTCCACACTTAGCGCAGAGCCAGCTTGAGACTCTCCCTCCCTCTCCTTCTCCCATCCCCACCCCTGCCACCGCCCCAGGGGCATGCTCACTCTCTCTTGTGAATAAATAAACCTTGTAAAAAAAAAAAAAAAAAAAGGTGAATGGGCACACAAACTGTTTTCTCCATATAATGGAACACCACCTGGCAATAAGAAAGAATGAATTTCTGGCACATGTTAAATGTGTATGAATCTCAAAATAACTATGCTGTGTGAAAGAAGCTACACCAAAAATAAAAAGTACATTCTGTATAATTCCATTTATATAAAATTCTGGAAAAAGATCAGTGATGAGGGCAGTGATGGAATAAGGTGGGAAGGAGAGATTACAAAAGGCGACAAGGAAACTTATGGAGTTCATTGTCTTGATTGTGGTCATGATTTCATGGATGTTAACGTTTGTCAAAACTTATCAGACTGTACACCTCAAAGAGATGTGTGGTGGTATATCATGTCAGTTTTAATTTGCATTTCCCTAAAGACTAATGAGATGCCAGTCCGCATTTGCTCTTACAGGCCTGGAGGCCCTGAGAGAGAACTGGGCTGGACAGAGAGGTTTGGAGTCATTGTATTGGAATGGCTGAATATGTAAATTAGAGTTGATCCTTCAGGGAGAACGTGAGGCATGGGGAACGAAGAGGTCTCAGACCAATGGCCAAAGAAGTAAGCATTGCTCTGTGAGGAGGAATCCCAGGGCTTGCCGATATCAAGAAGGCAGAGATGGCTAGGACTCAGGACTGAAATTTCTGGGGTAGGTGATGGTGAGCCTACTTTTTGAGCCTTTGTTCTATGTCTATAGGAGCTCTGAATCTCCCTGAGAGAAAGCCCCACAAACAAGCTTTGACCTGGCAGGGGAGGCATTTTTCTTGGGCAAGTTACAGGCGGGGAAGAACGCGGACTACTCATAACGTTTATTTTTTTTATCCCCTGATCCCAGGGAACCCCTGCCACGCGATCTCTGAGAGCAAGACTTGCCATCGCAAAATTCCCAGTGGGTATGAGGCAGTCCTTACCTTGGGCCCACTGCGGGATCTGCAAGGGCTGGTAGCCTTCCGAGAACAAGAACATGACCTTATTGGCTGTGGTCCCAAAGGCGATTCCATAGGACCATCGGTTACTAAAGGTGCCCACCAAGTCCAGAGGTCTGTGAACGAGAGAAACAGCTCATGAGGCCAGACCGTGGCTCATTCCCACAGTTCACCTCCAAAGTGTCAATCCTACCCTGAGGAGGGATTATGGGGTGGTGAATTATTCGCTTCAACTGACATTTTCTGAGGCCCTCAGGGCTAATTCTGGGGGTAAGCATGGATTCAGGGTACTGAAGTGAGGAAGACCAAAATCTTTGCCCCTGAGGAGCTCCAAGGCTTGGGGGAGGGGAGTGAGGGGAGGGACACAAGCAAGGACACTAATAACCATGACAACAAACAAAGTAGGATGAGTTTCATCCATGAGAGACACAGGCAGTATGACTCAGGAGACTGTAACAGGAGTATGTACTCGACAGGCTTGGGGGAGCCTGCCCTGTGCCCAGCGACTAGGAGAGCCCCAACATCCCTGGGAGGGTCTGGGTAGCATTGGCCATGCTGGTTCCACACCAGCATACCTTCCTGGGCACAGCTGATTGGACCAGGGGGTGACCACCTGACTCTGGATGGGCCAATCAGATGCCTGGTCTTGGATTTTGGCTTTCTGACCCTGAGGACACAAGCCAGTCAGCTGTTAAAATTCTATTAAAATTCTATTCTGGAAAGTCATGCCAAGTTGGGATCAGAGTTGGTCCTAGAGGTAAGTAGAGGTTTTAGGGAAGCAAAGATCCTAAATCAGATGATAATGTCAGACAGCAGAGAGGACAGTAGTAAAATGGTGCTGAGGGGCTCCTGTGACGCAGGGAGGCTGGAATAGAATTAGTCACCCAACAATGCCCATCTCAAGAGACCCAGTGGCCATGAGGCCGGCCTTGCCAGTTCCTGGGAAATCTCTGTAACTTTATAAAAATCCTTTCTTTTCCTTTTACAAAAACGAGCTTTACAGGATATGTTTCTTCTAACCAAAATGGCTCTGTCTAGATCAAAGTAAAAAACAGCATCTGGAAAAAAGAGAGCCTTTCTTGTTGAAGTGGCATCTGAAGCGACCTTTGATGAGAACTCCGGGGGGCAATGGGAGCAATGCATGGAGGCAGGGACCTGGGGCCAGGATCTGGATCTCACCTCCTGCCCCCTTAGTCTTTCTCAGACTCCCCTTCAAGTCTCAGCTCAAGGAGCACCTCTTCTGGGAAGCCCCCACCACCATCACCCCGACCACTCCCAGCAGGCCCACCCAGTTGCTGCCTTGTCTGGGTCCCCTCAGCCCTAAGGGCATGTCCATGTTGCAGCACACCTCTCTGCATTATTGTTTGTCTAGGAAACGATACGCTCCAAGGAGTGAGTACCTAACACAGGATCTTGAAAAGAGCAGGTGCTCACTGCACGTTCACCAACACGTATTTTGTGGGCATGAACCGAATTCAGTCTGTCCCACCTGTGGTACCTGAGATATGTGAGACTGTTCCCACATCTTTCAGACAGATGGCAGCCCCCACTCTGCTCATGTCAGAGACACCGTGGGCGGCAAACGAAGAACTGCTTGACAAACTGTGGTGTGCCACGCACATGTGAGGGGCTTCTGATGCGTGAAGACGGTGGGCCAGAACTCCTCAGAAAAGTGGGGGTTTTGGGGGGAAAGTGGCCAGGGAGTAAGCAAGGTGTGCCATTACCAATCGAATTCAAAGCCGTTCCACATGACCCATACAGAGCTCCTACTTCTTAAGAAGTCCCGCACCAGGCCCCGCATGTCAGATGCCCTGGGCAGAATCTGCCTCTGCGTCCCAACCAGGGTGGCTCAGGCCTGGCAGTTTGGGAAGGGCTGACCCCTCCAGTGGGGGCTATCCAGAATGAGTCTGCTCCTCAGAGCTGGTACAGGGGCTCCCTTTGTCACCCTGAATCCCTAGGTCACTGCTAGCCTTGGTCTCAACACCCGGGCTTCCTCTCCCTTCTCCAGAATCCAAGGTGGAGACCTTAGCATGTTTACATGCTTGAGCCTGCTTAGGCTACGATGTCGGGGGGAATCAGAGCAAATATCAACCAGACCTCAGTGAAAGCTCTTGTCACTTGTTAGCTGTGTGGACTTGGGCAAGTCACTTAACCTCTCTGAGCCTGAGTTTACTCATCCATTACATGAGGATAAGAACCTCCAGCCTGCTAGGTCGGCAAGAGGGTTCGTCCAAGTAATGCTAGGCAAAGCAAAAGGTTCAGTGCCTGGGTCACGGTCACTGCGCGGTAACTGTTACCTGCTTCATTATCATTATTATTATGAACTATTAAAGGGTGATGCGGCAGAGATACGAATGATTAGAGCTTAAGGAAAAATGTGATAAGGAGTGCAGACACTCAGGATGGCAGAGCGAGCAAGGGGTCTCCTGGTGCGTGACTCCTGGCGCCTCCCAGCATGGATGCCTGCTGCGGCCTGTGGCCGACTGAGAGCTCTCTTCCTCCTGCTTCCGGAGGCCGTCATAGTGCTGGGTGTGGGAAGGCCTTTCGCATAGTGAGCGGAGTCTCCTTGAGATGTTTTCATCACACCTGGGCAGCCCTGGGTGCTGAGGCCGCCCTGGCTTGGAGGCCAATTCTGAACTCGGGAGCCAGGCTGGGGTGGAGCAGGGAGGGGAAGGGGGGTGGTGAGGAGGCAAGGCTGGAGAGCTAACGGGGAGTTGTCCTGGCCTTACAACAGATATTGATCCCAAACACAGACTTCCCCAAGCTGTAGCGATCAGCCCTAGCTCCACTCACATGATGATTTCAAAGCGGTTCCCCAGGAGGTGAGAAGTGTCGTCTCTCTGTTTACGGTGCTCTCGCCTTTGGAGAAAGGACAAGACCAAAATGATGAAAACCTATGGGAAGAGAAGATGAGAGTGTCAGCGGGAACATTCATCCTCAGTGCGGCCCTGGAGCCTTCCCTGGAAGAGAAGGTGAGGGTGAGCAGAGGGCGCAGAGTGTCTGTGACCCCCCGAGTCCGAGAGCTGGCTGCACGCACCCTTGAGCTTCCAGAAAGCTCAGTTTTGTACTGAGCTTTTCTCTGTGTTGCCCTGAACAGGTTCAAATCTCATCTCCCCCACAGACTGACTGGAAGAGAGACCTAACTTCCCTGAATCTCCGTTTCCTCATCTGTAAAAAGGGGATAATACCTGTCAGGTTGCAAATCCTTCTTTGCTCGCTCCCCACCCCACCCCCCACCCCCGCCACTGTGGATTCAATCATATTCTCAATCCTTGATGCCCTTTGTCTCTCCCCTTTTACTAGAAACCTTTTGACAACTGTCTACTCTCGCAGTCTTCATTTCCTCACCTCTCACTTGCTCTTCAACCCCCTAACCTGGCTTCACCCCTATCCATGGAAAGAGCTCTGGCCAAAATCGCAAATTACCAAATTACCAAATCCAGTGGAAACTTGAGGCCCAAATCTGGTTTGATCTCTCCGCTGTGTTCCACAGTGTTGACCACTTCCTCCTCTTAGAAACACCCTCTTCCCTAGGCTTCCATCAGCTGTGCTTTTCTGGGTGTTCTCCATTACCTCTCAGCCTCCTCTGCTGGATTATTCTTTCCTCAACCACTAAAGTCGGGAGTTCCTCCTAGTTCAGTCCAAGGACCCCTCCTCTTATTACTGGATCCTCTCACCCACATCCATGCTGACAATGGCCACCAATGCCCAGAAGACTCACACACTTGACTCTTCAGCCCAGACCTTATCCATGAGCTCCGTAACTGTTCACTGAACTACAGAGTTGGCATTTCTTTTTGACGTATTGAAAGCTTCTTAAAATCAGTATGTCTTAAATGGAATTCATGATTTGCCTTCCTGCCCTGTTCCTTCAACCACCTCAAACCCTGATCTCTTCTGATTCTCCTTAACTAGTGAATGGCAGATACCACCATTCTTCTGGCTGTGCAAGCTAGGAAAACCACGTCATCCTCAACTCTTCCTCTCCCTAACTTCTCTATCCTACGCATTACCCAGTCCTATCGCCTTACCTCCCAAACATCTTGAGCTGACCACCACCATCCAGGATGAGCTAAAATCTGCAACCATCTCCTCTCCGGCCCACCTCCAACCTGATCCCCTCAATGTGACCAGAAAGTTCATTTCAAAACAGAAATCTGATCACACCAGCTTCACACTGGAAACACTCCAGTTACTTCCCACTGCACTTAGAATGCGGACACCACTCCTTCACACAGAGCCCCACAGGGCTCCACCTGACCCAGGCCCAGACACCTCCACCTCAGCTCCCCACTCCAGTCATACCAGCCCTCTCAGGTCCTCACGCTCTCCATTCCCCTCCTCCACAGGGCCTTTGCACGTGTCCCCCCCCCCGCTTGAGAGGCTCTTTATCACATCTCCCAACAGACCTTGGCTGTCATTGCTTCCTTAGAAGAGCCTTTTTTAACTCCCCTAAAAACCAGTGTCCTTGACTCACTGGCCCTTAAAAGCCTTCTTCTGCCTGCTTTTTTGGCGCATAATGCAAGAGAGAAAGTCGAGGAAATTCAGCTGATGTCTCTGCTGACCTTTTCAGGCCCCTTCGGGAGTCTCTATATGGGAGTGACCCAATTCCCCTCCCCTCCACTCCATGCTTTCCCCTGCCTTTACTTACTGATGGGATGAGGGAGTAATGGAGGAAGAGCTCCAGGTCCACCGAGCTGACACAGGTGCCATTCAGCTGCCTGGTTCTGAAAAACAGCCAAAACCACATTCACACCATCAGTCACTGCTATAATCACTGACCCATCAGTCTTGAGCATCGCCGGCAGGAGCTTGGCTTGTACCCCACTCAGATCATCTGATCTTTTTTAACTTTGCTTCCTCAGGGCCAGCACTGCCTACCTGCAATGTGTCTTCCCTACGTGGATTCATCTTCATCCATATTTCTTTCTCCAGCCTGATTATCTATCCAACTGTCCTGCTAACCAGATCTAACTCCTTTCATTCTTTTTTTCAAATTAATTATTTTTTAAGTAATCTCTACACCCAGCATGGGACTTAAACTCACGACCCCAAGACGAAGAGTCGTACGCTCCACTGAGCCAGCCAGGTCCCCTAGCTCCTTCCTTTCTTGATGACACAGTTGGGGACAGACTCAGGCTCTGTGAGGCCCAACGCTTATCTAATTTGGACATCCTTTTCAAATAAAACTATGAAATCCTCTTACTTTTCGTATTTTCCGGAAAACATACCGCCATGTGAACACTTAACTAAGGTGCCCACCCCTCGCTGCCGAGCCTTGGAAGGGCCTCCCTGTGCAGGGAGGTTGGAGCTTCACTAACTTCACAGGAATGCCGCGGGCATCTGGACCACCGGCGGTGGACTGTGTCCTCTCCCCAGGCTGCAGGAGTGGGATGCTGGGGCCTCAGGTCTAAAACACAACATGGCAGTTCTATGACTTCTCTTGACAGGGATCCTCTCCTTTCTGGGCTCCCCCATATTTTGCTCTTACTGCTCGGACTCCACTCCATGCCCTCTGCACCCTCATGGCCACTCACAGATCTGCACGGACTCTGTCTCCCTCCATCTCGACTCCAGGCTTCCTTCCCCCCCAACTCCTGCCCTTCCCTCAGAGGTCTCAGGGGAGAGCACTCCTCAGGGAAACCCGTGAGCAGGGCACCTTCCCCTGCAGTTCTATAAAACCCTGATATTCCCCAGGTATGTGTAGCCACGGGTCTGAAAGATCCTAGAAGTGGTGGGGAAGGTGAGGGAACCCAGAAATGTGATAGAACCATAAAGATCACACTTCTGCTCTCAGGAAGCACACAGAGCATGTACATCAGTCTGCCCATCCCACACGAAACCCTCAAAATGACAAAGATGTTATTTTTTAAAAAAAAAAGAAAGAAAGAAAACAGAGATATTTGAAAGCAAGAAGGAGATCTATCAGGGACAGAAACTACTAGAAGACCCTGAATGATGGAGAGCAATTAGGATTACAGCAAAGAAGGGCGCCTGGGTGGTTCAGTCAGTTAAGCATCTGCCTTCAGCTCAGGTCATGATCCCAGGGTCCTGGGATCGAGCCCCATGTCAGGCTCCCTGCTCTGCAGGGAGTCTACTTCTCCCTCTCCCTCTGTCCCTCCCCCTGCCTGTGCACGTTCACGCTCTCTCTCTCTGTCAAATCAATAACAGCAAAGAGAAAAAGCATAAGCCAACAAGGCTACACACTGTGGGGCCACACAAAGGGCTCTACACCCATAATGCAAGAGGGGAAGCAGGACAGGGTTGCCAACAGCCCACCGAATGATGAACTGGGGTCTCGCAGAGACCCAGCTGTCCTCCCCTCTCTGCTGACAGCCAGGGGCAATAGGGGTTGTCCCCAGGATTAGCGTATATGGGTCACAGAGAGAAAGAGAGGCAGTGCTCTGGATCACAGGGACCAGGAGCTTCACCTCCCAGATGACCAGCCCCGGAGGTACTCCACCTAGGGGTGCCTCCCCTCCCCCAACCCACTGCCCTGACAGCAGCCTTAGGACTAGCCATCTTCCAGAAAGCAGGCACCCCAGTGGCCACTCAGTCACAAAGATGAGCACACAATCAAGAGCCATCAAACATTTGAGGGAAGATTACACCACAAAAGGGAGCCAAAAACTTTAGAAGGGGCAACTTGCTCTTAAGGAGACAAAGTTAAGTTGGAACCTCTCTGAGCTCATTACTACAGGAAATCCTTTATAAGAAGCATAAATCTAGGAGGAAACAGAGGGGCGCAAAGAGGAACAGCAGGCAAAAAAAATTGGCAGAATTTACTGTTAACCCCCAGCACAGGATTTTAAGAAAATATACATTTAAATAAATACATACATATATAAATATATATAAGACATTTATAAAGATATATCTATCTAGATCTATCTATAGATATATCTTTACATATAGATAACATTCTTAGAAACACAAGGTTGCAAAAGACCGTCTGGAAAAAAAAAGTGGAAGAAATTCTCAAGAAATAAGAAAGAGGATTCTAGGAAGAAGCAACACCTAACAGAAAAATGAGTAAAATATATTGTTAAATATCAGGGCACCTGGGTGGCTCAGTCGGTTAAGCATCCAACTCTTGATTTTGGCTCAGGCCATGATCTCAGGGTTGTGGGATCGAGCCCCACGTCCAGCTCTGAGCTCAGCACAGTCTGCTGGGGATTGTCTCCCTCTCCCTCTGCTGCCTAACCCCCCCGCCCCACCCCATGCTCATGCTTTCTCTAAATAAATAAATATCTCGGTGAGTAGTTATTGTGACACATAACATGTGAAATGCCAAATTGGAGGTAAAATACCAGGTGATATCCCATAGCGGGGAGGGGAGGGGTGGGAACAAGTGTGGACACAGAGGGGAGAACAGCACCATCACATTCTCTTGCTTAGCAGGATGATGGAGAAAACTGTTTTCTCTTGCTGGGCATTATAAGAAAAATGCAGTTCTAAGTAAGTATGTTAAAAATTCATAGGTAATTGCCGGAAGAATACAAATACAGTGTAAACCTGTATATTAAAAAATATCTATGGAAGAAAGAAAATTCAATCACTCCAACAAACTACAGGAAGAGAAAAAAATAAGATCAAGATTAGAAGAGAAATTAAGATAAAATGCTATCTTATCTATTAAATTGGGAATTATTGAAAATACTACCCAGTATTACTGAAGGTTAAGACAAGTTAGTATCCATTTACTGGTAGTAAGAGTGTTAACTGGTATAAACATTCTGTGAATTAATTTTGCAATATATACACCAAGAACCTTCCAAATACAGCAATTCCACTTCTAGGAATTCTACTTCTGAAAAATACAAGCTAAGGAAATACTCAAAAAGGTGCCTAAATATAGGCTCAGATTCTCTCTGTCTCTCTATCCCTCACTCTGTCAATCTCTCTCTCGCATGTATATAACATTTGAAATGTAATATATGCTCATTGCAAAAAACTCAAAATATGTACAAATGTATAAAGTAATAAATAAAAGAAAGCCCTTTCTGCTTCCATAACTATGCATATTTATAACCTCTATAGCGTTAAGCAAAAATGGGATCTGACGAAACTTGATTTCTTCATTTAACCAAGGAAAGAAAATGCATTTACTAAGGAAAGGAAATTTCTCGTGTCATATATATGGACCCATCAGACTCTTCTGGATGGGTGGCTGCCCACACAGATTTCACCAGCAGGCCTGTCTCCTGCTCGAAGGGCTGAGCCGAGAACTGGTCTGGCAGTAGCTGGAAACAGGTGAGCTCAGGGAGGGTGGACAGAGCAGCTCTCTAGCTAACGGGCCCACAACTGTGGCGTCTGGTCCCCCTGGGCTCCACACCCTCTCCGGCAGCCACCGCCACGAACATATGACACCTACTGGCAACCCAAGCTCAAAAGCCACTGAGACCCCTTCCTGGCAGGCCCAGGGCTGGTGGGCAGGTGTGCTGAAGGGCGACCGTCCACAGGGCTGCAGCAAAACAACAGCCCCAAATGTAGAAGACCCGCTCTCCACGGATGATGCCTTGGAAATGTGTGGATGCCTTGGACTGTTAAGTGAAAGAAAATTCCTGCTTGATCCCAAGTTGTGAAGAGCGGTCATCTCTGGGTAGTGGGATTTGAGGTCATTCTACTGCCTTCTCGTGACTTTTTTCTGAATTGCAGTACCCAGAGATATGCCGCTTGACAGCTGTGTCCATCTATCCGAGTGCTAAGAACAGTGTCTGCACCAAGCAGAGGCAATAAACACGTGTTGAATGAATGAATGGGTTGCTCTGTGATACAACAGCATTCTGAAGTGAAGATGTGTGTGAAATCAGCATAAAGGCAAAACGTGCAAGGTTTGTGGTGGCACAAATTACAAATCTTTAATTAAACAATTCTTAATAAAATGCTATGAGGGCCAGTATGAGGCATGCTACATAGCTGGTGCATCTAGAACATGGGGCATCCCAATTCCCAGCTCCTTTCTCCAACCCCCCACCCCGCCCGTTGATCCCATGTCAGTGGGAGGTGGGGTCTCTGTGCTCCCACAATCCTTCTGCTTCCTTTGGCCCTCACATTATCACTATGGAAATAAGTTACGGTATGATATATGATAACAACTTTCCTTAATGGATGTGTCACTTAATTATGTGTCGCTATGGCCTCGGCGTTCTGCTATTTTGGATTATCTAATCTTTGCAGGAATCTTGGGGAGGGGGCAGGCTGTGTTATCTCCTTTTAAAAATGAGGAACTGAAGCCAGGAGAGGCTTCACACCCCACCCCGAAGAAGGTGAGGCTGCACGTGACCATCCTCCCAGCCCCAGCTGCCAGCTCACGGGCCTCCTTGGAGCTGCTAGAGGTGCCTGGGCGCCCAGCCTGCGGCAGACTCAGCCCTGATTCCCACGGTCAGCCCAGCTCCCGGCACGGAGAGGCTCAGCAATGTCTGTTAAATTTAAGAAACAAAACAGAGGATCATAGAGGAAGGGAGGGAAAAATAAAACAAGATGAAATCAGAGAGGGAGACAAACCATAAGAGACTTTTCTTTTTTTTTTTTTTATTTGACAGAGAGAGACACAGCGAGAGAGGGAATACAAGCAGGGGGAGTGGGAGAGGGAGAAGCAGGCTTCCCGC